AAGTATAGGATTATTTGCAATCGCCATAATGACTATATGGGTTACTTGGTCTGCAGTGAACATGCTTCCTCTGCCCCCAGCATCTGGTCATCTAGCAATTCTGTAAAGTAACAATTTCAGTATTTTTACATCAATGGTATTGGTGTGTTTCTCATTGGCATATGGCAGTGCTACAAATCTTTGTGCGAAGTGACTGTACTAACCGATTCTCATTTCAAGATGTCCTTATGGTACTTGCTACAGTGTAGCGGCTCGAGTTAGGCTGGACCCGTTGGCCAGCTACCCTCAGGGTCATTCCACGGTTGATTACATGGTCCACTATTGTAGCTCTGATGTCATCAGCAATTCTATTTCTTACTCTTCCTACCCTTCCTCTCCCCCCTCCTCATCTTCCTCTCCCCCGTCCTTGTCTTCCTCTTGCTCCTCCTTGTCCTTGTCGTCCTCTTCATCCTACTTCTTCACCTCCACGTCCTCTTCCTCGGCCTCCTCTACTTCTCACTCTTTCTGCTCCCTCCATTGTACTCCGCACACACAGCTTACCTGTATTATAGTGCTCAGGCTGGTTGCAAAGTGAACTAATTATCTAAAAAAGTTTTCACATGTGAAAGTGTGCCAGACAGTTGGCAAGTTAGTGTTAATGATAGCCATACATGTGTATACTTTTGCTAGGAGAGTGTTGGAAATTTGGTAATTGAGTGTTGTGCAGTGAATTGTGCCTACAGTTTTGCAAAGTGTGTGTTACGAAATTGCAAACTGAGTGCAAAGCAGTTTTTGTGCTTTTAGTTTTGCAAACTCAGTGAGTGGTTTTGCTATAAGTCTGAATAGTTTTAGAGATTGTGCTACAGGAATCACAGTTAGGGTTTAAGCAATCAGAAAAAACTGTAAAATCACCCATTTAGACTGGGAACGTGGTGCATTGCAGCCTCTTGTGGCCAAGATTAGTATTACACCAACAAAAGGTATTGGAAGGCCAGCCTCCTGCAGCTGGCCTTCCAATTTTAAACAGTTCTGAGACTTTGTGGTGGGAATTTTATCTGTTTTGATCTGGAGAACAGGTAAGAACTTGTTTTTCTGTTCACATCAGTTTTGGTTGAGTAGAGTGATGTTGGACTCCCCAGGGCTGCTGCTCTATCACTGAGCCCAGCTGCAGTTTAACAAGTTAAAGTTAAGTCAAACCTCTGAAACAGCGCCTTCTACAGGATACAGCAGCTGGTTCAGCCTAAACCACAGGCTCTGAGGATGCAGCAGAGGTCATGTGACTTTGACCCAGACAACAGGTTTAAACTGCAGCTCAGATAACGACAGAGCAACAGCACAACGAATCAGTTTGATTACTTTGATGGAATCAGCCTGAAAGTAGAACTGCTCATCATCACTTCATTTAGGTTTTCATTCTTTCATTCACTCTAAAAAATTAAAGGGCTGAAATCTACAAATAACAGGATGAGGAACTGAAGCAGAGGTAACCCCTAACCCCCTCATGAATGCATTTATGCTGCACTAATGTGAATGTTTGCAGGGAAATCAAACGCATTTTACTCGCAGTACTCGAGCTGACTTACCTTTGTTTGAATGACGACTTGTATGCGCTGACTCCACAGACAAGGTATGAAAATATGTCAGGCTACGTCAATAGCGGTTGGTCTTCAGGGTTTCTACTCCACGGCCGTATTTCATACGGGTCCACATTTCCAATGCACGCTATTTTCTGCAAGTATCGCCGCTTCGCCTCTGAACGCAATCGGTCTCTATCCCGTCCTTTCTCTTTTGAGCTGCTTTTACAGTTTTTTCTGATTGCTTGAGCACATTTTTTGTAACTATTGGCTAATTTTGCAAAACTCTTCACACAAATAAGAAAACCTGTCACCCAATAATCAAAACATTGTAGTTCTCTTGCAAAAGCAAACACAGCTAGATTAACTCTTCACACCTTTGTAAAAATGGTGTTTCCGTATCAAACAGTACACACAAGCCATCATCTACTAAGCACACAATGCGCCAACTGCACACTGATGGTATGAATACAAAACACATCTGGCTTTTGCTTTCTCTGTGCACAAGGTAGGCTATGTCAGTTTGAGCTCATACTTCTGTCATAGATCCATAAGCATAGAGGGATCCAAACTTCAAGTACTGGTGTTTATTCAAACACATCAAAACAAACACAAGTGTTTATTTCCAAGTATAGGATTATTTGCAATCGCCATAATGACTATATGGGTTACTTGGTCTGCAGTGAACATGCTTCCTCTGCCCCCAGCATCTGGTCATCTAGCAATTCTGTAAAGTAACAATTTCAGTATTTTTACATCAATGGTATTGGTGTGTTTCTCATTGGCATATGGCAGTGCTACAAATCTTTGTGCGAAGTGACTGTACTAACCGATTCTCATTTCAAGATGTCCTTATGGTACTTGCTACAGTGTAGCGGCTCGAGTTAGGCTGGACCCGTTGGCCAGCTACCCTCAGGGTCATTCCACGGTTGATTACATGGTCCACTATTGTAGCTCTGATGTCATCAGCAATTCTATTTCTTACTCTTCCTACCCTTCCTCTCCCCCCTCCTCATCTTCCTCTCCCCCTCCTCGTCTTCCTCTTGCTCCTCCTTGTCCTTGTCGTCCTCTTCATCCTACTTCTTCACCTCCACGTCCTCTTCCTCGGCCTCCTCTACTTCTCACTCTTTCTGCTCCCTCCATTGTACTCCGCACACACAGCTTACCTGTATTATAGTGCTTAGGCTGATTGCAAAGTGAACTAATTATCTAAAAAAGTTTTCACATGTGAAAGTGTGCCAGACAGTTGGCAAATTAGTGTTAATGATAGCCATACATGTGTATACTTTTGCTAGGAGTGTGTTGGAAATTTGGTAATTGAGTGTTGTGCAGTGAATTGTGCCTACAGTTTTGCAAAGTGTGTGTTACAAAATTGCAAACTGAGTGCAAAGCAGTTTTTGTGCTTTTAGTTTTGCAAACTCAGTGAGTGGTTTTGCTATAAGTCTGAATAGTTTTAGAGATTGTGCTACAGGAATCACAGTTAGGGTTTAAGCATCAGAAAAAACTGTAAGCATCTTGTAATCGTCGTTCCAACACAGTGTGTTTGTTTTGATTCGTAGACCCCGAAAATGGTGCCGCGCTCCCAAAATGCATTGCGGCGTGAGGTCAACTTCAAAGCTCTATCCGGTTGTTCAGTGATGACGCGACGAATCCTACTTCCGGGTCTAAAGTAGTCTGCGTTTAATATGGCTTTTGTGTTGTTAACATGTTTAATGTTTTGTATTTTCTTCTATTTAATCTCAAAAAGCTCCTAAAACAGTCAGTGATCCCTGTTGACCTCCCTCGCTTTTATTACCACTAATCATTTATTTAAGCTCAGTTTTTAAAACCTTAGGATGTAACTCGCCCAGATGCAGCAGTATATGAATGACTAACCTCGTATTGTGGATGGATTATCTCAGTTGTTCTCCTGGCTGAAGTTTGGTCCTTTTACAGCATCCTGCCATGCGATTACATTTGTTCCTGACCACCGAGAACACTCACGTTAACTTTTATCGAGTGGAAAAAAAGTTAGCTTGTTTATATTATGCTAACATAGCTGTGTCGCTAGCGGTCACGTAGCACATCATTATATACCAGCTAGCCCAACTTCAGTAACCCTACAAACGTCACTGCTGTTTAGTTTTCTGTCTTCATTTATGCTGGAAGTGATAACAGAGCTGTACGTTTTAATTTGTTTCCAAAACCCCGCAGTCAGGACATGCTATATTGTATTTAGATAGAAGCTAGCGAGCTAACTCCCTGCTAACTTCTAACTCCGTTAAATGTCATAAATTCCGTTTTCATGGATGCCTGGATGTTAAACTCAATTGTTACACCTGGTAGAGCAGAACGCTGATCATTTTATTAAAGATGAAAGACTTTAGACAGTTTTTCAACTCTCAGTAATGCCATAGTGATCGTTTGATATATGGACCTGCAGGGAGTTTAGCCAGACACGGCTAGTGACTCAGACTGAACAACCGGATTGAAAGGGGAAGTGTTTAGAACCCCCCCTCCCAAAAAATCATGACCAGGGTGGGGGCAGTGCTGAAGGATACAATGCATAACGGGGTTCACTGACTCAATAACCACAGAGCCTCGAAACCTCCCCCTCCTTAACATCAGCACAAATGCTGTGCACTGGGAGCTCCATGGTTTAGGTTTAAATGACCGCACTCTGGTTTTGTAAAACTAATGGAAAATTGTTCATATTATGCTCTCACAAGTTTACTGAGCCACTTCTGCACCTTTGTTTCTCTCCTTTGACTTTGCCATCTATCAATCAATCGATGTTTTTAACTTTGACTGCATTTCTCCATGAGCTTACTATCTGGTATGGCTGTAATTATGCATACCAGTTCATTATTTTTGACCATCTGCTCCTATCCTTCAAGGTCACATGGGTCAGCTGGAGGACTGTTGACTTTTGTTTAACCGGGTGAAACTCTCTCTCAAGTTGAACACAGGACACACACACACACGCACGCAAATCTCCCATGTACACAGACACGCACTTACCGGTACCCCCCCGCAATGCCTCCAAACGCTTACTCCCACCCGAAGTAGGCAGGCGGATCTGTCTAGCACTGGAAGACTGGCTGCTGTGTACATGGACTAACTCCTGACTCCCCCCCCCCCGCTGCAAGTCATGTGCTTTTAGGTTGTAAGATGTGAAGATTTATGTGCTTTCTGTGCTGAGGTGTTTTTTTCTGTTCTCAAACTGCTCTCCCCGAGGAGCTCAGTCTGCGAGGATATCTTTTTTCTCCTCCTCTTTCCTCGTGTGTATTTCCATTGTTTTTTTCGTACCGCCCCTACCCGTCTTCCCAGTGTTATGTTTGTGTATTCCATGTATGGTCAGAAAGGGTGCTCATGATGACACCGGATTGTCTGGTAGCCTTTTAAACAATTTCCCTCGGGATAAATAAAGTATTGTTACTCAATCAATCAATCAATCAATCAATCATGTGACTTGAAGTAGTTTGTTTAGCCTTAAATTTGCTATTTAGCTTGTAAAAGTGGCTTTCAATCTGTCATTTTCCCACTTATATTGTAAAAATTAGTAAACTTTAGTTCCATGTTATAAATGGTTTCACTTGCTATCTTTAGTTAAGTTACCAACAGAAATACTGCAGAGCACTCTCTAAATCAATTCACTGCACTTAAGCCAGAGCCACTGAATGGCACTGAGTCAAGCTAACTGAAACCTAGCACTGGGAATTTCCTAACTCTTGTAATAATTTAAAATAAAATCGTGATAAAATAAAAATAAAATCTTTATAACATTTCATGCAGTTCATGACTGAAAAACAGCATTGTGCTGGTTAAAAATAAGGACAGGGAAGTAAGTCTGATTTAAGAAAAAGAAAGGAAAATGTGAAGTAGGTATGGAAGTCCATTCCTGCCAAGAAAAGTATACAAGGAGGCGAAACACATGAAAATGCTAACTTTTTTATATGGATTCATGATCAGTGTTTAACTGAATTCCAAATCAACTGTGCAAAAACCAGATTCGTATTTAAGAGATTAATATTCAATATTTCTTTTATTTCTCAGTAGATATGTGTATATGTTTATACACATATCCATATAAAGCAAAATGTGACCAAAGATTACGCTATTTGGTTCTAGTTTTTTGGTTTGTATAATTGTACAGTTACAGACTTTTTATTTTAGATTGTTGCTACAAAATATACAATTTGAAGACATTAAATTAGGATAATTAGGGTAGATCACTATTATCTGTCAGAGAGAAGTGGGTCTCTAATCGGGTCCGGGGGACAAGGGATCTGTAAAATAATTTGTTAAATTGCGCTAGATCATTAAAAAGTGCATTTTACAGATTGGGGACCATTTGATTCAATAACAAAAGCATATTTTATCCAGTAATTGCTACCACATTATGGAGGAACAGGAGGAACTGATATGATTGTGACTCACTGCAACAATGAAATCACTTGCTAGTTTATTAGCCTGGTAGCTAGCAGGTGTGGGAAGATTTTCGAGTGCTGTGGCAGAACCAGCCAAATCGCTATTTTGATTATAGGAGGTTTTGTGTCACTGGACCCAAAGAATTTGAGAACCACTTGTCTATGGGATTAATTTAAAAACCATTAGCACATTATTATTATCAAAATAACCAGAAATTATAGGCACGTCTGATCAACGTATATATTTTTCTTTTACAAAATCCATCCACCCCAACTTGCTCAGAATGACAGCGCTACAGTTTTTGTGGAACTGTGAACACACATGACACAAGAAGCACATTGACAAATCTTTGTTGGCAAGGTTCACATGTTATTGTAGCAACCGTTCAACATCCCCTTTTGTTATAGGAAATGTCAGCACACAGTTGTCTGGGTACTTGTTTCCCATCGCGGTTCTCCCACTGACAAGTGTTATTGGAAATATGGAGTGGAACTTGATGATGTCTGCCACAGAGTCAAACATCTGAGGAAAAATAAAGGGAATTAGAGTAAATATAGTGCGATTGAGGGTTCTTAATGAAACATTTTCTGAAATGTGTTCACTCACATCATTTGAACGATATCCTGTGCCCAATGCGTACTTTTTTGTGCTCTCAACAAACCGAATTTTGACATTGTAAACCTTCTTCTCATGATACACAACCAATACCAAGGGTTCAAAGTTGCTGTTGGTGGAGCAGTCTCGTACCAAAAATGCACCATCCTAATGGGAGGAGTTACAGAAAGAAAAGAATACTCCTGTTAAACTGTGCTTTTGGTGTGTTGTTTTTACACTTTCAACTGATATAGATCCAAATAACTATGTTTAACATCTGCCCAAGCTTAAGACATGTTCAGTTATATTTTTATATTTAGAGTCCTTATTCATATACCTTGTTCACCAGGTGTAAGGCGTGCTCAGCATCTGCTCGATTACATGTCCCGATGTACCAATCTTCCTCACAGGTCTACCAGAAAAGTTCATTGATCAGTGGATTCAAAGCTAGTTAATATCACGTTGTGATGGATATCATTCTTGATTACAGGATTAGTTTGGGTTAATTATGGATAGTTGTGAAAAATTAAATACACCTCCACTGTGTCCATAGGAATTAAAGGGGTAATTAGCAGCCAGGTGATGCCAATACACTTGATTAGCTGATCATCAGCACATGTGATCATCTCTAAAAACACAGAAGCTTTGGCATTTTGCTGGAAATGATTATTCAGGTGTTTGTTTACACAATACTACAGTTTTCCCAGGAGTGGATTCCCCCAAGAAATTCACCCTAAGGTCAAACTGTGCATTGCTAGGTGCTGCAAAATAAGTGAAAAATACCCAAGAGCTACATCTTAGACTCTACAGGCCTCAGTTAACATGCTGAACCTTAAAGCTCTTGAATGTACAATTAGAAAAAGAATGAACGTGTTTGGCTTTTTTTGAAAGGGTTACCAGTAGAAAGCGACTTCTTTCTGAAGAAACGTAGTAGCATGGCTGCAAGTCTGCAAAGTTGCATCTTAACAAACCACAACATCTCAGGAACAGTCTCCTTTGGACTGATGAGACCAAAGTGGAGATATTTGGTCATAGTGGACTGTGCAACTGTGGTGGCGAGGTGTAATTTCTTGGCTCAGCTGCTGGAGGGAAAGGTGGAGCAAAGTGGTTGAGGAGCAGTGCCAGCTGAAGAGAATAGTGCATCTGCTAATTAAGCTCTCCTACTGAATAATAGGTGTTAAAAACTGTGTCTATGCAATACTGAAGTGACTCATAGTAGCAAAGATACTTGCTGCTGCCACATGCTAAACATAGCATGTCAGTGCAAACACCTCTTACCAACTGGTGGTGGAGGTATGATGGCTGGGTCTTGTTTTGCAGACACAGGACCTGTGCAGTTGATCATAAACTCCGCTGCATACCAAAGTACTCTTAAGTGAAGTCTAAGGCCATCTGTCCAACAGCTAAAGCATGACTGAAACTGGATCATGCAACCGGGAAAATCATCCCAAGTACAGCAGCAAATCTACAACGAATGACCCAGTCAAAGTCCAGACCTCAACCTGATTAAAATAGACGGTGGGACCCTAAGAAAGCTGCACATGAACAAATGCCTGCAAACCTCAATGAACTGAAGTAATGTTGTAAAGAAGAGTGGGCCAAAATCCCTCCATAATGACACAAGGGACTGGTAAAGTCCTTTAAAGTCATTCTTGAATCCTGAATCACTTAACCTTTCAAATGTCTTTTTTTAGTTCTATGAAAATTTTAAGTTTGCAAAGAAAAGCGTCTGGACTTCTTTAAGTTTCCTTGAAGATGTTTCCCCTCTCATCCAAGAAGCTTCTGCAGTTCTAAGAGCAGTTGGTGGAGAGTCCCAGATTTTAAGCCCTATGGGAGTGTCCCCAAGAGGGTCATGGACCCCCTCTTGATCCTCTACCGAATCACACGAGCCAAGGTGTGAAAGTGGGTGTGGGTCACAATCAGCCAAGGTTTCAGGTGAACCCACTGTGAAACCTATCCCCACACTGTCATGTGATTTACTGAGGTTAAATGGCCCAGGATGTGAGTGGGTGTTAAGGTGTCTGGGGAGGGAACTCAAAACTGGATTGTAGGTGGCAGACAGTTGGTGTCGTTAGCCACCGCCTCTGTTCAAAGATGGTCACTCACGGTGGACATAGATGCTTCTTTCACTCCTCTTTCAAACCGTCTGTCTTCTCTGTCCAAAATGTGAACATTGGCGTCCTTGAAACAATGACCTTTGGCCTTTAGATGCATGCGAGTTGTGTCCCGTGGACGTGGCTCTTCCATGTTGTGAACCCATTGGGCTAGGTTTCACAGTGGGTTCACCTGAAACCTTGGCTGATTGTGACTCACACACACTTTCACACCTTGGCTCATGTGATTAGGTAGAGCAGGGGTGTCAAACTCAAACACACAGTGGGCCAAAATTCAAAACTGGAACAAAGTCGCGGGCTAACGTTAATATTTATTGAAATATATTTATTGCTCCAGATATGAGAATGAATCTTTTCTTATGGACTCGAACACGTTTTGCTGAAAAACTGAATATGGAACAAGCAAAGCTTAATACTAAACAATATATATATTAGCTGTATAATACCAGTAGGCCAGCTCTGATAGTTGGCTTCGCGGGCTGGGAATCTGGGACTATCCACCAACTGCTCTTAGAACTGAAGAAGCTTCTTGGATGAGAGGTGAAAAGTCTTCAAGGAAACTTAAAGAACTTTAGACGCTTCCTTCCAAGCTCCTTAGAGTACGATGACCTGGATGACTGAGAACCTTTACAGACATACTTCAACAAAAACTTTCTTTTTCACATGACTGTAGCAGCACATGTACCTGTTGAGGCTTTTCCATTGGGACAAAGTCGTGCTGGTCAAAGTCTTCTTTCGTCTGAGGCCATTCATGGTGATGGCGTTTTGATGGGACCCTTTCTTTAAGTAGATGTCAGGGGGGACTTATTAAGTCAGTAACTGTATAATGACTGATAATGACGAGCTCAAAGATACTTACCTAGACTTTGATGGGTCCTAAATAAAAGACAGAAAAGATGCATGTAAATAAGACATTTTAAAAAGCATCTTGAGAAGCCTGAAAATATAAAGTCAGACCTTCTTTCTAAGTGAGACTCCAAATCCAGTGAATGCCTGTAACTGCCAGGTGTAAGACTTTCAGAACTGAGTGGACCTAAAAATAAAAACCCTTTATTATGTGTTAATACAGTTGTAAACAATTATTGGTAACACTTTATCACAAGAGGCTGTGATTTTTATCTTACCTTTCATATGTGAACTAAACTCTGCCTGTTAAAAGTATAAAAAGAGAGTTAAACGACAATGCATGGTGAAATTTGTAGAATAAAATCAAATGTATATATGAATAAGGAAAGCATGTTAATTTTACAGTATTTCTCATAGGACTTAGTTTGTTAAGAGATGGTGAATAAAACGCAAACAACACCTTCTAATAGGTTCAGCATTTTTAGCTACTTACATTTCTAGTGGTCCCGTGCTCTCTGCTGAAATCAAATGACATTAAATAACATGTCAGAAGAGCCTCCAGCATTTTCTGTGATAATCTTTCCAACCAGCAGATGGTGCCATCGCTACACTGTACAAACTGTGGGGTGTTGTTTTTGCTTTACACCATTATTGCAGGGAAAACGTCACACTGGGTTATCGTCAACTCCAGCAAATTAAAACCACAGGGAACTGGGACAAGTGTCAGGTTCTACATGTAAAATAAAACAGTACTCACTCTCTCCTGCAACCTTGCTGTGGAGCCTTTCCAGACAAGACATTGACCAACTCCAGGGTAAAAGGTGACGGTGATTGCAAACTCCTGCAGGAACAAAGAATCAAACAGTAAGTGCGTCCATAAGGCAGATAAATACAACAATGAGTAACTTAAACAATAATTTAGCAAATTACCTTTGTGAGTGCTGTAATGTTAGAAAGAGAAAAAGTTGGTCACCTTTTTGATAGTTTGTCAGCATTACAATTTATTGAAAGATAAAAAAACAAACAAACAGTAGTACAGTAAACTGTATTGTTAGGCAGGTGAAGTTACCTGGTCTCCTTTTGGCACAGGTGGGATCCTCCTATCTGTAACTACACCACGTGAATATACAATATGAGATTTAAACTGTGACCCAGAAAGGCAAAACAATTTCAGTCAGCTGAGATGTTACCTGTTTTCATCTTTTGTCGACCAGGCTTCAGATCTCTATTTATCACAGGTGCTGTGTTTCAAACACAGAAGACAAAGGTGAAAAGGTTCTTCTTCTGGGACAGAATCAGCTTTTACTCAGTTTACGGAAAACATTACCGTACATTTAACTAAAGACAACCAGCATCCTTCAATTAATCTGTAATAATCAGCTTTAGTATTAGAGGATGCCAAATCTACTGAGATCAGAAGCTGTAAATCTATGAGAAAAAAGTATTTTATGTTAAGCTGCATTAAATTAAACAGAAACAAAGAGTCGCCAAAGACTGCACATCACTAGAGGCTGAATATTTCTCACCACACCATGCATGGATGAGAGGTATATCTAGATTCTGCTTAGTTAAAAAATATTCTTAAGAATTTCAAGACAATGTCTCCCATTTTTGAAATGTTTATTAATTTTAAATGTTTGCCCTTCCCAGTGGTGCAGTCACCTCTATGTCGCCCTCTGTGCCATCTCTGGTAAACTTTTCATGTCAACCTATCCATTCGTTTCTGAGCATTACCACAAACAATACAACAAAAAGACATACAGACTGATGAAATGAACTACATAACTTCATGTTATTTGGTTGAGTTAAAAACTAGCTGAATATCGACAGCTACCACTAAATCCCCAAGTTGTTTAGGTGGAGTTGACTTTCCTACTTTGTCAGTCAAGTGTAAAACACAACTTCAGATTTCTTTTGAAGTTCTTTCTTTTCATTCTTCTTTGATTTTAAGCGACAATTAGAGCTAGTATTTGCTTCACTATGTTCATTAGCTAGTCGCTGCCCACTCTGGCAGTGCAAAGGTGCAAGGGCAGACAGCAACTAATTAATGAAGTTAGTTGCATCATATGGGTTTTCAGCATGAGTAATGCCGTCTAAGTGACTCTGTGCTTTGATGAGCAGCAACCAAGAAGAGAGAAATTATTAAGCCATTGCAAAGACTAAGTTACCTTCAATATTTATCCAATGTTTTCTCATTTTCATTGATCATATTTGCCAGCACAAGCTGCTGTTACCAGGCAAAGTATGGATGTGCGTGATTATGTAATTAAGTTATTTTAATTGTTAATTAACTGTGATTTAATAGTTTTGTTTTTCAAGGTAAACAAAGATGTCTCTGATTTGAATTTCACTGCTACTGTTCAGTGTCTTTACCACAATAATCACTCAATTTTAAATGCGTTGTAGGTTTACCTGTTGAAAATGGCGTTTCTCTGGGTGGACATCTTGGGAGGATGTTTGAGTTTCCCTGATTGATTGAAGAGCACAACGAAATGTGGAGTACGGTCAGTAAGGTAGTTCCATTCAAATTGTATATTCATTAATGAAGACCAAAAAAGAAACCTTACAGGGGAGAGTGATGAAAGGTTGTGAGCTGATGATGACCTTGGGAGATCCCTGTCTTAAGAGCCAAAGAAACACTCTCATCAATGACTGTGATGATAGTACTTTAAGAAGTTCCAGTGTAAGCTGACAGTTTAAACACCCTGTGAGTTTGTATCATTCCTGTAAGTCGGTCGATGTCGGTCCCAGTAGTGCACTGCAGCAGCAGACTGTATTGATTACAGAGGGAGAATGCTCCAAGTGTGAACAAATTTAAAAGCCACATTCACTATAAAGTTGTAGACATGCAGCTGTGAGGCCCCTGGCTGCGGGCCACATCCAAGCAGGAGAGTAAAGCGAGCTTGTTCGCACTGCACATTTCCCTCTCTTCCCCCTCAGCTGCTGGATAATTGTAATCTCCCGCAGTCTGACTCAGCCAACAGATGGCCCTGGAGACCCACTGGCAGATCATGCTCACTCAGCATGAGGTCTTTCTCAGATCCAGGCTGCTTTCATTCTCACCACAGTTTGTGGTAGATCTGTTTTTTCCCCTGCACCTCATTCAGCTTCATTCTAATTACATTCATGAGAGCATTTCTGTGTAGGAAGGTAAAATAGACTCAGTGTCCCTGTGTCAAGTACAAATAGTACTTTAAGTCAAGTTTGAAGAAGTTTGGGAATTATTAAAATCATTTTAGTGGTTTTAGATTGAGATAACTGCTTAACAATTCATTTAATAATTACTTGTGGACGTATGTCCTTAATCCACTGTATACATTTAAGAAATAATGAAAAAAGGAAATAATAAAACACTATTAAACATAATAATAATAATAATAATAATAATAATAATAATAATAATAATAATAATAATAATAATAATAATAATAATAATAATAATAATAATAATCACTAAGCTCCTCTTACTTTCATGTTTTAATGTGCTTTATTAGGACCAAATAAACAACTTTTCTCAGTGGTCTCATTAAAGACGCTTTAAATACATTTTCAACTCATGAAATTAAATTCAAGCTATAGCTGAGGTAGTAGCAGTACTAGATGTTGGTATGAACAAAACTAACATTAAAATAGAAATGAAAGACTTTCTTTCTACCTGCATACTCTTGGTCATCATTTATGGGCCTCGCAGGAAGAATGCGTACACTAAGCACTTCTTCCTGGTTATCCACCACGTCGTACTCTGGTTCCTCTACGTCGTTAGCATATCTTTGAGTTCTGTTCCTTTCTGCTCTGCTGCGATCCTGTGAAAAGAAAATTGCAGATTCTTTAGAGTGGGAAATGACACTGGCCTGCTGTTATTATTGCCATTATTTTTGTTTTTTGTTGTAGTTTATTTTAACTCGCCTTTTCTTGCCCTCAACATCAGTATAAAGTAACAGATTCTGAGCAGGCAACTCTTTGCAGTTTCGATGCACATACACTACACTAAGCACAGGAAGCAACTATGGTGATATAACCCGCTGCTTGTCCCCCAGGGATTTCCTCATTTACAATTACACAGGCACCAAAGCCAACACATCATAGAAAAAGAGGTGATAGCTTGTGACACAGTGTTAAAAATCAGCAGCGTCTATTTCTGGGAGTTAATGACATATGACACAAAGTGCATTGTGACCATGTTTGGTATTTTGTTCCTGCTGTTGCAAATTTGGAAAGATGGGTGAGATTACGGTGAATACACAGTTAACGGGTGCATTGATCGTGCCGAATCAAACCTGCTCCTCTCCTTTAGTTAAAAACCTCCACATCAGAACTCCTTTGCTTTTAATGAGGAGAACAGTCAAGACTGACTTTTCCACAAGGAAATTGATGTTTGTGTCCAGCAGGTGCAGTGTCACCATTAGACATTTGTGCACCACCCAACCTGAATATTTTGTCACAGGAATAAAGTGGAAACCATGTGTCCATGTTTTCTGTCTCTAATGATGCACCCTGAGACTTTATTTTAAAAATACTGGGCTGGAAATGTATTTTTTTAATTCCCCATTTATTAAACTAATCTATCTAAACTACCTGACTAATGCAGTCTTAATGAGAAAATTAAATTGCAAGCAATCCTTAATCGACATTTAAACCAAATAAAAAAAAGTAACAGTATAGGTTTTTAAACAGATATTAGCCCTACTCAGCTAAAAACACTTTTATGAAAAGAAAACATTTGAGATATGCAACATTAGATTTTACTTCAGGTCTGTTACACATTTTTGTAGTTTGCTGTAGTTCATGATACAATCTTCAAAATAGTTTTTCAGAATATGATTGAACTATAATGTTTTTGTTGTAGAAATCAACTCTAACTCGACATTTTCAGTCTTTGAATCATCATATAGATCATAGAGTTCAATAGAGTTCAATAGAGTTATCCAGATGAATGAGAAAAGAACAAAAACATACGTTTAGGTTTTTAAGTTAAGATCAGATTTCGTCCCTTTCTGATGTACATGCAAGCCGTTTCCTCTTTCCAGAGGACTTTGGTCATTACGTTTGAGTGTTAGCACTTTGCGCCATGCAACATCGTTCTGCTCTGCACTTCTGAGAAGCATCGTGAACCTAAGCGCTTAGGAAAGTACAGAAGAAGCTTTCCTCTAAACACAGAGCATTTCCTTGTAATACCTTGGTGCTGACATTATATAGTAATCGCCCAAACAATACGTTTACCTAGAATATATAACAACTATTTTAATTTCTTTAAACCTCTTATGTTTTTAAATGATAGACGTATAATGTATTAATTCATTAACATGTATTATTATTAGTAACCAACACATGTCAGCAGAGTGCATGTAAACTTATGAGAAAATTATTGTATAATTGGTGACACTAATATAAAATATTTCACAATTTCAGTTTAGAAATGATATTACTAAATCACAGAGAACAATCCTTGTCGCCTACAATGTGTTGTTTTTACAATGCACTAACAATGACAGAGCAGAATCTCACTTCAGTCATTTCTGTGCTAAAAGGTAATTACACAGGGGGCTGCAGACTCCCAGCGTATCCCCTGGGAACATTCATGTGGAACCAGCAGCGAAACGCTGTGGATACGGCCGCCATAACTCACCATTATCACAGCAGACTCATGGCTGTTCCCTCTCTCTGCAGCTAACGAGGGGGTGAAACAAAAATGAAAAACATCATTAGTTGGGTGTTCAGCAAAAGAATGTGGCCTTCCAATACAGTTTGTCCTTGGACTTTTCTTACTCAACAGTTACACATGCAGAGGAATGAGGTCATTATATACAACAAAACAGAGCCGTTTGTGGCCTCCTGCTGCTGTCACTTGGAGCCACGATGTTTTCTTTCGGGTCTGAATTATATTTTTAACATAACAGAAACTGTTCAGGAATTTTTTTTAACACTTTTTAAAAAAATGTTAACTCAATCCATCCATCCGTTGAAGGTTGATCATTTGACATTTGACATTATCACCTAGGGGTGGGGGAAAAAATCGATACTGTGTAGTATCGTGATATTTTGTTTGCTAATGATGTATCGATGCAGGGACAGCAGAAATTGATATTTTGTTACAAAAAGGTTTTTGTGCTCTGACTTCAGAGCATGTTGATCCTTTTTCTGAGCAAGAATCCTGACATTCCTTCACTGTCCAAATGTGTTTAACTTGTTTTTGGCAGCAATAAACATGACAGTTTACTTATTTTAATTTAAGACATGTTTTATTTTAATTAAGTTTAAAACTTTTTTATTTAACGCAAAATTATATTTTGTTTTAATTTACTTTCAAATTCTTCAGTTGCTGAATGGGCTGCATAGTTTTCATATTGCATAGTTCAGAATAGCTATAATTATACCAGATGGTTGCATTCAGTTAAGTTGGACTAGACTGTAATACAAACCGTTCAGTTTGTCAACAATAAAACTGAAATGAGAGAAAGACTGAGTGCGAGACTTTGATATTAGATAAAATGAATATTGATAAAGTTTACCTTTATGTATGTAGAATCTGAATATCGCAAAATATTTTTTAAAATTGCAATAATATCGTATCGTGCGTTAAGTATTGTGATAATATCGTATCGTGGGATGTATGGTGATTCCCACCTCTATTATCACCTGGCTTTGAAGTTTGTTCTTCAAATGGAAGGACTGATGATGCCAAAAAGCAAAAAACAAACAATCAAACAAACAAAAACAAAAACAAAAAACCAAGCAAAACAAAAATACCAGAACTATTCAAGTATTCTTATCTTATGTTAAGCACGCTGAGTTTACATGTAACAAAGTGTCTTTGAAATTAACACTGACGAGTTTTTCTTGGTCATAGCTGAATTATGGTCAACAGTTCTGACCCCCCCCCAACACCCAAAAATCTAAGAAACAAACCAAAAAACTTGTATTAGTTAAAATTCATGATGATGATCAAGTTTGCTAATGATTATATTTGACTTTTTAAATATAATTGTTCACATATTAACATTATTCCTACTTAAAATGAGGTTCTGCAGGATTTGAAGGAAGAGACGTGACTTGGTTTAGATTTATGGAGGTGCTTATGGAGGTAACTCATATTAATAACTGAGGACTCTCAGTTTATAACTTTTCTAGACCAGCGTCAGTGCTACACACTCTTGCCTTCACTCTTGGCTCAATCATACAGATGAGTATACCTAAACATCAGTGATGACTGTTTTATATAACTTACTTTTCTAAAAGGTTCAGTCAAGTGTCATCAGCATAATGAGCAATAAGGCTGTATTGGCGGATTATGGGAGGCAGAGGAAACGTGATATTAGATTTTGGTTAAATACGCAAAGTAATTAGCATCCCGAACAAGTTGTAGATCACCCAAATAAGACCAGATCAAACACGATCAAACGTGAGCCTTCCCTGCAACTCGGTAATATCACTGCATGTGTCTAAACGTATCTCTCTGTATGTTCAAGATAATGTTGCTGATTTTTACCATTTTGTTTACAGTTTTTGTCTTAAAAATCTAACAATTAATTCATGAAAAATCCATAAAATTTAAACTCACAACCGTATACAATGTCAGAATTTAATCCATGAATAATTTAACCGGTCAACACTCCTTACCCCAAACATGCTGGTGCGGTTGTATTTTGAATCAAATAAACTTAATATACATTAAATCTGATTAACTTTACACTGTTTGAAATACACTGTATTTCAAATGGTTAACACATCACTAGCGAGAGTATGTCCAAAGTAAAAGTCTTACTTCTTCTGTAATTTAGAGGCACATACTTGTTGAATCACAATGTGCCACAGACGGTTTTCTCATTAACAGTTCAATAATTAGGTGCTCCAGAGGTTTCAGTCTTTCTTAATGCCAAAAAACGGGGGTTAAAGTGAATAAAAGCGGGCAGATTTTACGTGGTCCACAAGTTCGTGAATATCACAAAGATGGCTGTGAAATCGTTTTAAATTTGATCACATTAGATCACTCAGATCAAATGAACTGAAATCCAATCTCACAGTGAAACAGCTGAAGGGCAAAAAGACAGTTGTTATGCTTTTGCATTAGCACGCTGCAATGAGACAGACTCATGCAGTCACAGTTCCTTCACTTGTGTAATTTTCAAATTTTAACCTCCTAGGACCTGCGTCCACATATGTGGACATCACATTTTGGGTTATTTAGACCAAAATACTCAATTTTGCTCTACAAGGGCCTGATATCCACTTACGAGGACATTATTCTGCTACCGTTCTATCAAAATTGTAAACAAATATCCTCAGATGTGGCTCTCATTTTTCTTAAAAACAAAAATATGGTAAAAATAAAAAATCTCGTAATTCTTTGTTTTTACATTCATCGGGCCCCAATCAGCCCTAATATCAAAGAGAAATTAAAAATGTTGCCGTGGAAGAGTTCGGGTCTTAGGAGGTTAAAAATATTCCATGAATTTTAAAATCCTGTTTTCAAAAAGGGCACAAAGAGGAAAAGAACCACATCCTCACGAGTTATCCACCAGTCTTTGATTGACAGCTTTTGATAGTTTTCTTTGGCCATGAAGGAAAACAAAACAGAAAGCAGGAAGGAAACCTGCCCAAAATAGAATTTAGGACATTTCAGCAATTTGAGGGATTGTGAAAATGCCAGCTGACATTAGAGGCTACCGACTCAAGTAGCAGCAAACTCAGTATTGGATTTGGCACTGTGGTCTAACACTCTGTGGGGCTGCCTGACTGCTTTGCAGAGCTTACTGGGCCACGGGAAGTGGGGTGGGGTGAGACATATGAAAAAGGAGATTAGATACATGGAGCTAGCATCTGAGGTTAAGCAGTTAGTCTGGAAAATAAACTTGTGCCCCATGGAAATTGGGTGCAGAGGATTGTGGCAACTCAAACCACCAGACTACTTAAGGATTTGTGACCTGGCTTTGCTACGGAGATCAAGAACGTATCAACTGCAGAGAGCGAGAATAAGCTCAGTGTGAGGAAGCGCCATCAACAAATTATGATGATTATCATTAAAAGTTATTTCCCTCTGTTGACTGTGACACGTTAATCGATTTGTATCGATTTGCAGGTAGTTAGAAGCAAGTAGATTGGTTCGCTCTTTGTGCATCTTTTATCAAACTCACTTAGCACACTTGACTTTTTAGGTTGTGCAATAAAAGCGCTCGTTGACAGTTTTCATTTTATAACTGTAATTTGGTTACGCAGTGTGAAATATTTCAATTTTGCTCTGTGTAATTATTTTTGTGAATCAAAATTAGAGGCACCTTATATTTCTAACATACATATATATGTATTTTTAGAATTGACCATAATTAACTTGACATGGTTTCAATCATACTTCAGTTTTAGGAAGTTCAATGTTCATAATACAGAATAAAATGACTTTTTAATAAAATTTAAACCAACTGAAATCTTGTTCTTGAATTTTAATCAAAGTGAGTTTCTCATCTTTTGCAGCAGCTCTTGCCTTTTAAAGACCCCCTTTCCTATTCACACATTTTCATCTATTTTTAGCACAGAGAAACATCTGCGCTTTGTTCTTTTGTAGCATTTACACACTCAGAAATGCAGAATTTCAACATTCAACTCAAAGTGAACCCACCTTTTCTGAAGATTATACAGCAAGCACACCTTCATCAGTAAGTGACCAGCAGTTTTGTGCTTCTTTGGTTTGTGTATGGTTATAGAGAGAAAGTGTCTGCAGTATGTCTTCCTTCCCGGTGTACGCGCAGAGACACTGAGGTTGCATCAAGTCTCTAAGTCTCAGAGTTAAGCAGCCCACTGTAACCTAAAATAACTTCCTGTGTGGTGAGTAACTGGCCTATAACTCGAGGTCTTCTCTGTTTTAGATAATAAAATGGTTCTTTGCAGACAGTTTCTACTTGTGCATCTGTGCCCTGACTTTACTAACACTAAATTGTCAATTCAGAAAATGAACAAAATATTTTGCAGACGCGTCCTTTCAAACACGAGTCTTCGTTTAAGTTTCTTTATTACTTCTGTGGCAACTTTTAGCTCTGTGCGAATTATTTCCTGTGTTGTTTCGCCCTGTGATTTTGACAGCTTATTGTTTGACACTATTTTAAAAGCATGCATAAAGCTAAAGACTACACCAGATGCTCAGTAAATCAGGATCGAACTAATCTTTACTAAAGTAGGTTTTTCTGTTGATTTTAAAAGGAACATGATGACATTTCGACATCTGCTCTGCCAAGCGGTAAAGGAAGCACGGTGACATTTACCCATTCTTCAACTGGCTTCATTTATGTAACAACCATATGGGTGAGCCCAAATTGTAATCTGAGTAAATATTTTAGCACCAAATTTGACTTCAGTGCAATATTTACTCATTTTATAGCACCTAATAAAGTATTGAGGATATACTTAGGAAGCACTGCTAAAAGAAAAGCTTTTGTTCACACATTCAACCCTTTAGCATTTAATGTGATAGTTATAAACCCAGAAACCCAAACTGGACAGCTGTAAACATGTAACTAACTAATATTAGTAATGTAATAGCTCAAATGAAGGAAATCTGCTGAATCGTGTTTTAAATGCGTCATTGTTGGCCATGAAGTGACATTGGAGTGAAGCTCCAATGCTCACTGAGGATAGCTCACGATAAACGTGCAGACAGTACTTATTGTTTTCTTCTTTTTTAAAAAAACTTGATCTGGAACAAATCCAGGAAGGTATTTAACGAATGTTCTCTTTAAAAGCCTCATTTTCTCACATTCAGAAAGTGGTGACCTGTGCACGCACTTAAGATGACCTTTTAGCTCAAGAGAAATGGAAAACTTTTTGGTCCTTCAGTCCAAAGATTGCACACATTATTAGAGCTTCGCTTTTATTGCTTTGGCCATCTGTAAATGGTAAAGCCTGGAATCAATGCACTGCTGACATGTAATTCTGCTTCATTCTTAGATGATAACTGCTATTTTTCTGTTAATTGTGACTTTCATGTACTTTGATCCAAGTAAATATTTTTTTATAGGGATCTAAGTAGTTAACTTGCAAACTATTATGATAATAAAAGCAATACAACCAAGACTTCTACAAAATAAATACTTTTTAAAAGAAAGTAGTTATATTAAAAGATGTAATATAAAAGCGTAAATATTTCTTCACATGTTTTTCTTTTCCGGGCCAGCTTCTTCTGTTCTTCCTGTTCATGCGAGCAAGTAGTTTTTGTGTCTTTTTAAAGTTACTTCCTGTTATATTTTGAAGAGTTTCATGTGTTTGCTTTAGTCATTCGATGCTTTTCCTGCCGCTTTTGTATTCATGAATCCATTTTTATCCTTCTCTGTGTTCTACCCTGAGCTTCTCACCTGTCTCCTGATCCCATGTTTTTCCTCTGTGTATAATAATTCTAGTCATATTTACCATCCTGTCAGTCACTGGGTCATGCTAAAGAAAACTTGGCCATGATCAGTGTAATTTTAACAAAACAGATCAGGTTACACATAATTTATGAATATAATTTGTTTTTGTTTTTTAAGTAAACACAAAAGGAAAGAAAAACTTAGTTTTTTTTGTTTCTGGTGAGTTCGGTTAATAAGCTGTCAGTGGCTGAGCTGAACACCCACATTCACAGTAGTTCACATAGTCTGTGGGCACATAGTAACCTTACTGCTAACCTTTGTACTGTTTATTTTAGTTGCTTAGGTTAAAGAAGCCACCTAGAGCAACTGAGTAAAAAATAAATTACATCATACATTATTGGGGATTTAAATGCTTTTAATGCTGCCATTATGAAAAACTGAAATACTGAAGTTTCAGACGATTTCTCAGCGATCAGCAAATCCATTCTAGAGCTGACCTGCCTGTCTGTTTAAACAGAGTAATGCTACAGCAAAGTGTCTTCCTGTCTGCAGAGGGTAAGAGGCCTGGTCCCCTCTAAAAAGCGATGCAGCAGAGCACGAGCGCACAAGGTCAGTCTCTCTCCTGTGGTTTCTTCTGCAATGGTATAGCCTGACTTCCTGTGAAAGATTACCATCAAGCCTCTCGTATTCTCACTGATGCTTATCTTTTGAGCCACAAATGCCAACTCCCTGAACGTCTCTACACCTTGGCCCCCAGTGACAGCTCCACTGGCCTGTCAATCTGGCAGTCCATCCTGTGTCCTCAACCCCCCCCCCATCCTCATCCCAGCAGCCAAAAAATGAGCCTCCTCTATCCTGGACCTGTCATCAAGAAATAAGATCCAGAGTCCCAGTCTGGGGTGTGATGAACACAAAGGCTGAATATGGGAGAGATTTGTGTACGTGTATGATCAAAGTTTCAGTTTAACCCTCTCAGGCTCAAATTGAGTTTTTGTTGCTAATGCACAAAAGAATACCTGCAGTGGTACTTCTGAGTACAAAAAACTCATAAAATATGTATGTGGGGGAATCAGGTTGTGAGCTTTTAACTGTTGCAAATCTGCAACGCCTGCCTTGAGAGGGTTAATATCACCTAAGCTTCAGTGTATTTATAGTTGTCTTGTTTGAGTTACAGATGTTGAATTCCTAGCTCCACAGGAAGGATGCATGTGAGTGCACTGATAAACCACATCACGTAAAGAAGCATCATTGAACAGCTGCAGAAGTAGTCAGTATCAGGAGGCCCTCCTCTACACAGAAGAACCACAAAGTGACAGTAACTGTGGGCTGACATTTCCTGCAAAGAAATTACCTAACATTCACAAATGGATTGGTTTAAACATATTTCCCAATAGATATTTATATTTGGTTTTTTGTGCTGACCAATCAAAAGGTTTATTTAGCTTTTTTATGTCTCAAAACCTGAAAGAATAAAAATGAAAACAGACAAGACTCGGTGTGTAAAGCCGTCTTAGTGGAACTGCGAGGCTTAGGCAATGCTGCACTTTGTAATGACAACTCACTGAAGCCCTGTTGTAGAAAACCCCCCACAAAAATAAGTTCAAGCATTTAACAAAAATGAAGCTAAAAATGCCAACGCAGTGTGGAAACCTAGATATAACTAAACCTGATCTAATAGAACTCTATTTAGCAGAACAACTTTGTGTGTGATGCATGACATTTTGTGTGTGACCTTATCAGTCTCCTCCATCGTTGCGGAGGAGTTTTGGGGCATTCTTCTTTTTCAGCGTTCAGTTCATTGAGGTTTGTGGGCATTCATTTTAGCACAGATCTCTTAAACTCACACCACAGCTGAGGTCTGGACGTTGATTATGCCTGTTTGCAAGACCTTGATTCTTTTCTTCTTTTGCCCTTTGGCTGTAGATTTGATGCTGTGCTTGGATTTACTTTCCTCTTTCACTGGCCGGTTTCAGCCAAAGCTTTAGCTGTGGGACAGATGGCCTCATGTTTGACTGGAAGGTGTCCAAGTCCTGTGGCTGCAAAACAAAAAGTAAAACCTCAACCCGTGTGCTTGACAGTGGGTATGACATATTTGTGCTGGCGTGGTGTCTTTGGTTTCACCAAATATGGCAACTTTGGTCTTATCTGCCGAAAGGACTTTGTTGTTTGGTCAGATGCAATTTTTCACAGACCTAAGCTGTGCTGCCATGTTCTGAGAAGAGCATTTCTCCTGGCAACACTTCCTGTCGTGAAAATTTAAGATATATCTGCAGTCCCCAGGTAGCTACTGAAATGATAAATGAGGCCTGTAGATGTAGCTCTTGGGGTTTTTGCAATTTCTCTAAACATTTCTCCATCTGACCTTTGGTGAATTTGCTGGTGAATTTGCATCCACTGCTAGGAGACTGGCACGTTTCTCGAATGTTTTCCGCTTTCCTACTGTAGAATGATGAATGTCAAATGGTTTGGAACGCCTTTACAACCCTTCCCAGATTAATGCAAGAGTTGCTGTTTTTCCTGCATTGCATTGTGTTAACACCCGAATGTTCCAGACCTGTACAGCACCAACACTTCTGCTTTAATAGAGGTGGTCACTTTTCAGACGATTAATCAAGTACAGGAGCACCTGGCTGCTAATTAATAGACGTGTATCTGTTGTTTGTTTTAAATAAGTGTTGAAAACAAATGTTTCTACATTAGCTTTTGCTTCATCTTTATTCCATTAATTTTTACCATTTTACATCTAATGCATGTAGGGAAGTTTATATGTGTGAAGAATGTAAGACCATTTGCTTGACTGTGTCTGTGTGCTGGAACTGAAACTACCTATAATTATATGAGTGTATGAGTTTGAAAAAGTGCTATGCAAATATTATTATTATTATTGTTGTTGTTGTTGCATTTTGGCTTGCTATTTGTGATCTATTTCAGAGCCTCTTTATTTTCATATGTTCAGTTCCTTTAGGTATTTCCCAATAAACTAATAGTGAGATAGAAGTGAAAAGTCTTCATTTCAGTCTGGATTCTCACCTATTCCACATTTGACTGCATGCTTTTAGAACAGCCATTTTTCAAAGTTTCAAAAGTTGTCAATAAAGGTCAGTGTTCACCATAATAAGCACTTAGCTTGAATTATGCTTCAATCTTTAACGATACAAAAATGACACCATGTGACTCTTTCTTTGTTGCATTATTTGTCACTATGGAAACAAACTTACTTTTATCGCCATGCGTTTTTTAGTTGACATTAAAAGCTCTAGATTTAGCAGTAGATGGCCTTTATGCAAAGAACACACATGTTATCTGGAAAAGATTGAATGACCTGCAGTCAGTGAGTTCTGAGCCTGCTGACAGTGTGATTGAAAATGGTTGTAAACACGCTGTCAGTGCCCATTGATGATGAAGGCCAGCAAGGACATCACAGAAAATATGTTGGCAGAACATAAAATATGTGATCCCCAACAATACACCCACTAAGTGTGGTGTACACATACAGAGATACATGCAGAGAATTGTTCCTTTAGTTAGATAGAGGAGAAGGATGAGATAATTTCAAACAGTCAGATAAGATCGCGGAGAGGGAGAGGGCAGGCAGTCTGACCAGTTTGGCT